CATCAAAAAGGCTTCCTTCCTAAAAGAAATACCATCAACATCATCTTAAACATCTTAACAGCCATTGAGGTTCTCAAATCCTACACCAACATCCCCACATACCTACTTCAACTAGATCAACAGAAGGCTTTTGACAGAGTGAATTATCAATATCTCTCAAAAGTCTTAGAATACTTTGATCTTCCACCTGTCTTTATTCAACTAGTTAATAATATCTTTGGACAACAATTAGCCAACATCACTGACAATAAATATTTATCCAACAAATTCAGACTAGAAAGAGGAGTCCGGCAGGGTGATCCGCTTTCTTCTATTCTATTTGCTCTCTCAATAGAACCACTCCTTGCAACTCTGTCCTCATCTCTCTATCAAATTAATAGCTATCTCGACAATAATCAGGCCTACACAGATAACACAACTATTCTAGCTCTGGACAATTTACATCTAGACTTTATTTGCGATACAATCAAGAAATACGAAAGAGTCTCTAATGCAAAAGTCAATCTCAATAAATCAGTTCTTATCCCACTAAACGACCTTGCCAAAGCTAACATACATTTCTTACAAAACAAATATCAGTTCACTATTCCTGATCATAATGCTGATATCAACATCCTGGGCTTTCACTTCAATACCAACTTCACAATGCATCATTCCACCTGGCTTACATTGATCAAGAAACTTGAAAAAAAACTCTTTCTTTTGAAAATTAGAGATATCTCCCTCAAAGATCATGACTTAACAGCGAGTTCTCTACTGGCTTCCAAAATCTGGTACATGTCCTACATTTTTCCTCCCCTAATATGACAAGTAGATACTATTCAATCTTTACTAAACAGTTGGGCCAGAGGTAATTCTAAATCCCTCTCCTCTTCCGCTATCATTCAACTTCCAAAAACAAAGGTGACTGGAATCTTCCTAACGTCAAGTCTGCCATCAAAGCTCAGTTAGCCATGACAACTGCCAAACTTTTTCATGCCAAAGAAAATTGGGCCAAACATCAACTCTCCATGATCAGCTCTTTCCAAAGCAACTTTATCAAAATCTGTCTTCAATACAAAAAGAAAGACTGGCCAATAGCCTATTGACCCTTTGTAAAAAATTGGTTTCTGGCGGGTAGACTGAATTTCCTTGCTTCCTCTACCTCTCTCATCACTACCAAGTTAAAAAAAGAAATATATCTCAAAAAAGTGTGGCCAGTAGCTAAAAATGTGCTATGGAAAAACCTGGGCATAATTAATCTTCCTCTACAGACTTACGTGAACACGTAAAGATGGCATTGTAATGCACTATCTCTGAAGAAATGGGTCTCCTGGTCTTCCTCCATCGATTCTATCTTCTGTCGGTAATGTCCTACGTCTCCTCAAACGCATCAACACTTTCTTCAAGAATGCTCATTCACCAAGATGATTATACAAGAAATCATACGTCACCTTGATGGACGCATCACCTTTATCCATATTCTAAAGCAACATCCTAAAGACTTCTCTTTCGCCACTCTCTGGCTTTCCTCCTGGCTTATCGATTATGTTTGGTGGGCTTCTGCTAGATTCAACCTCAATATCAAAGAGTCTGATACTCAAATCATAAAAGCTGCTCCATACATTCTTCTCAGAGACGCGAAAATTCACCTAGATAGTTCCTGAAACAATAAATTTACCAAACAAATAGACCTACTATATAAATCACTTGTATCTTAATTCTATATCATGTATTTATTCAAGAAATGGGTTCTTGCTTCACCCTCCCTTTTTTTTTGAAGAAAAAAAAAAAAATTAATTTTTGTTTATTAATAATCTAATCAAAAAAGTTATGAGTTACATGTTTCTTAGGAGATAAATTAATCAAATCATAAAATATATAATATTAATAGCATTTTCATTAATATTTAGATATATTTAAAATTTTGTAAGAAATATTTTTTGTTAGAATACAGAAAGTAGTTATATTTACTTTGAATTTTTTTATAATATATTAATTCTATTATTGATTGATTAATCTCCTAAAAATTCATATAATTTATAATTTTTTTATTATAACTAGAATACTTCCAAATTATCAGATTAACTAAATCTTATTATTTCATATCTAATACAAATCTGAATTATAATAAAAATTGAATTCAAATAGAAAAATAATAATTCAAACTGGAAATAAAGTTTTAGAGATTCAGTTTGAATTATAAATTGATCTGAATCAAATGAAGCTTTGATTATTATTATTTATATTTTTTAATAATAAAAAAATTTTAAGAAATAATCTATTTTATATAAAATCCTGTTATAAATTTACTTGTAGAGACTATATATATAATAAATTTATATAATATTATGAAATAAATTGTATTATAGTATATTTAAATAATATAATATAAAGAAAGTGATTTAAATTTTCAAAATGAATCTAATTTTCATATGTATATATCATGCATATGCCAATGATATATACATTAATTTAATTAAAGTTTATTTTTCATAAAAATTATTTATCATACATATATTATAACAACTTCAGGATTATATCTAGTTATTGAATTGTTAAAAAATTTATTTATCATAACAAGGTAAATCAAATAATGATATTTAATATTATGCTATATTTAAATTAATAAATTTAAATTAGAAAATAATATATAAGTTTTGGATAATTACTATAAAAAATTGCTTTCAGTGAATTTAAAAATAATAATTTTATATTTGACATTTAATATTCAGACATATATATAAGTAGTCAAAAAATTTGTAAGATTTTCTACATGATATTTTAATGCAGCATATGATTATTCTGCATAAGTTTCAAAAAGTCCTTAAGTTAGTCGCAAATTGAACTTCTTATAGAAAAAAAATGCATTTATTAATATATCATCTCAATTTAACTTTTCAAGAGTTAATGATAAAAGGATTAGACTGTATAGCAAAATGATAAATCGAATGGATCCTTTAATAATTGAACCACAAAACTTGAAGGAAGTATTTAACTAAAGTCATTTAAGAAAATTTAGTTAATTAAAAGAAAAACATTGATTATTCTTCAATTATTAAATTACACATTATATAAATTTATATTTAGCTATGTGCATGTAAAGTACATGTAATTGGCACGGAATATTTTGCAATTTCATTTTTACCACACAAAAAATAAACGTAATATAATTTTTAATCTAGGAAATATACAAAAACTAAACATAATAAAAAGCTTTCAGACAAAAGCAATATCGGAATGCATACTTAAATCAAAGAAAAATCACTATTACTATGTATTTCGTATATATTATTACATTATCTTCTAAAGATATAGGATTTAAAGAAAATAGGGCGTAAATAAAAGGTAGGCGAGCTAAGACTAAATGGTTTACAAGGAAGAGGGGTTCTCTACTGTTCTAAAGATCGCCTGTGCTAGTTTTTACAGCAATTTGGATCAATGCAAAAGCAATAGAACACAAAGTAAATCTAATAATCTGTCTGATTTACTCAATACTCACGAAATAAAATACAAGCTAACTATGGTTTATTTTAGAGTGAAGTCCTTCCACTATCTATTTATGTTAGTTATAAAAGAAATAAAAGTCCCTTATATGCAAGCTTTGAGGTAAAGTATTTATTTTTATTTGATTAGAGCAAAAGCTAATATTCTGCCATTTTATATTAATCACATCAATACTATATTTATGATTATCCATTCTTTTTAGTATACGAACTATCATTTCTAAATGATAAATTCGAAGCAAAAGGATATCAATATAGAATTCTAAAGATTACTAAAGTTATATGTTTCTCTAGAGATTTAAAGGTGTAATAAACATTAATTAAAAGGAGAATTATTAAAGGAATATACATATGTATGTAATCAGCAATTGTATCTTATTTTTATGGGAATATTACTCATAGCACTTATATCACTTTTACGTCAATTAAAGTGTCATAATCGGCGTAGATGGTGATAACCAGAACCACGTGGGGTAAACCAATAAACTCGCAAGAAATATACATGTAATAGATGCAAGAAAAGTAGTTACATAGGTAAAATTTCAAAAATAGCTTGGTAATAGAGAAAACCTTCGTAAGTAGCCTATTTTTCTTCATAATTATTGTAATTCGGATATATATGTAATGATTCTATTTGTGTTATTGCTCAAGCTTACTGGAATAAAGATTCAATACAATAGGAGTGGCATATGTGATTGTGATGTTTTCTATCAAACATTTTCTGGAGGCAAATAAATATAATGCACATCATTCTCTTTCTGGTAAATTGAAAATTTTCATAAGATTATTACTGGAATCTGTCAATATGCATCGGATGTTCTTGTACAGTAGTAAAAACTATGTTCCTACATCAAATGGTATTTGGGAGAAGTGCTGAATGCACAATATTTGAGCAATTAATGCTAGATATAAATTTATAGATGGTCTGATAAACATATATTTGCTATTGCTATAATATAAATTTCTTTTTTTATAATAATCTACCCTGTAATGGAAATTTTTTATTCAATCAGGTCATCGGTAGGAACATTTTATTAATATAGTAAAATTATGTTCCTGCGGCAAATGGTGTTTGGGAGGAAATGCTGAATGCAAATAATTTGAGCAATTAGTGCTAAATATAAATTTACAGATGGTCTGATAGACATATATTTGCTATTGCTACAAGATAAATTTCGTTTTTTTATAATAATCTACCCTGTAATGGGAATTTTTTATTCTACCAGGTCAACGGTGGGAACATTTTATTAATATATGCAAAACTGATAGAATGATAATATTATAATAATTAATAATATTAATAATAAAATTATTTATATAGGCTATTTAGTCAAAAACAATATAAAAAGAGGAACCCATCGTGACTATTTACACTATAAGTAATATCTTGTTACAACAATTTGTATAAAGATACATAACAGTTTCTTTTAAATACACAGAAGAGTTTTTTTTAAATACACATAACAGTTACTTTTAAATACACAACTGTTGCAACTTTTAAAATTATTAAACACAATGCCTAAAAACTACAAAAAACGATCTACCGTCAACATTGGCCAAGTAAAAGCAAGTTCAACAAATGAAACCAGCATTATTACTTCACTAGAAAATGAAGTCAAAGAATTACGCGAAATGGTGAATGAACTCTCGATATACAAGGAAATCATAAAGAATTATGAATCAAAAATCAAATCTTTGGAGAGTGAAAATGCCCAACTTCGTCAAAAACAAGCTTATGTCGTGAATAAAAATAATGAATATAAAAAAATACTTCATGATAAGGTTAAAAATTTACAGATGGAAATGGAAAATAAATCATCTGAAATCACGGAAACGTCCACGTCTTTAGATAAAGTAAAAGACGAAAATAAAAAATTAAGAGATGCTTTGAAGAATATAGACCAGAAACCTATTGGGAAGGTTAAATTTTTCATAATGCATTTCAAACAATCTATAAAAAATTACAATATATATTTCTTTACCTTCAGCATATTTTCTCTTCCGGGCTTAAGTTTTTAATTAAATATATTTAGCTTAATAATATATTAAGAATAGATATTTATTATTATTATATGACGACAAATTCAATCCATGTAATCTAATCTTCTTTATACATGTATTGTGAAATTAAAGTATATGCCGTTTGGAAGACTTGCACAAAGTTATTCTCATTTTCTAAATTAAAATGATCCTTAACTTTTACATTACGGGTGGTACGAACTGTATATTTATCCATGAGCAAATATTTATTTTTGACATATATGCAATTCACTACAATAATAGCATGTACTAAAAATCAAATGTGTTTATTCGAAAGTATTTTCACATTATATAACAAATATAATAAAGAAATCAATTTCAAACTTTAAAAATTTTTCATTAAGTTCAGCATGAATGTCAAATCTACAATATCATAGCACATATTTTGGCAGTTGTCACATATAAGTATACTTGAATGGATTCAGGGAATTTTCCCTGTAACAAAGGTCAAGGGAGAGTAATTAGACTAATTATGCTTGTTATACTCCATCTCTTGCCATATTTACGATCGTTCAATAGGTCGGGTGAAATAGGGGTTTCAGAATTTTAAATAAAGGTAAGGTGTTTCTTGGAAATAGGGAAGAGAAGTTGGAATTTATTTTAGAATGACAAATAATTAAGTAAAATCATAAATGAGTGACAATCTACCATATGGGAACATAACCATATCGATCGTGTAGTGCAGCAAATGACAACCTTTGGTTTCATTTATTTGGGGAGCAATAAATTGGCGAGTGAAATGCTGGAAGAACTTGAGAATTTAGATGAAAAACTACCTCATCAAAGTTTGGAAAAATGAAAGTTGGGGATTTGATCCAGATAAATAAGTTAAATAGAAACACAAATATTCTGTTAATAATCCAACCAGAATTTCTGATGTAAAGAAAGGTACGATTTCAATTATAGGTTGACCGCAAATGAGCTGTCTCCTTCTACATGGACCTCGACACTTGAAAAACCTGAGAAATGGCTCAGGCAACAAAAAATGATATTTTTTGTCTTAATGACCTCCACCAAGCGCCCATAGTACCATATCTGCTAGCTTTTATTGCTCAATTTTTGGCAAGTTTAATGATTTCTGTGAGGCGCAACCAGAAATGGAAGACAAACAATTTACCTACATGTTTTGTTGGAAATGACAGAATATTACAAATAGCAGAGAAGAGCGTCAGATGGTTACAAATAAAATGTTATCCGAATATCTTCACTGTATGCTTTCTTGGTCCTCTGCATATTATGAGCTTAATATAGTATACAAGTATGAGTTTAATACTGCCCTCACCTCGAAAATTGTTGATATTATAAAAGAAACAAGAAGATACTGCCTCCTTTTTATGTGACTAATTTTCCATGCTTTTTAGTTGTAATCACAAGTATAGTCGTAAATTCAGCTTAAGATATTTTTATCAAAATTTCGAATAATTTATATTGCTTTGCTATAAATGATCTGTCTACCCCCTTATTTGGCATAAAGATGACAAAATTCTAGAACTTTTCGTGCTTTGAAGAACTTCTCGATCAATACTATGGTGTAAGTTGATAAATTAGCGCAAATCATCTCTCAATATAACCATCCTGTGCATCCTTCATTTTCTGAAACGATTATTGGCGATAAATCTTACAATGTTCAGAGTTGGCGCTTATCTTCTTTGGGACGTTACATTCTCAGACGAACAAGGATAACATGTGAAAGCTTACGTGAAAGCTGTTTAAAGCATCAATATTCACTTGATACACATAAGCTCTTGGCAAATAATGGTTATGTGCCAAAAGTCTTTGATAGTTCAAATATTCCCGTAAATTGGCTTTTGGTTTATATGGAATGCCTGGACAGCCATTCAATATTAAATCACATCATTTTTGACCTTAATGATCAAGAACGAAAATCTTTAAGGGAGACTTGCGTGAAGGGAACATTCTAATTCAGCAGTTGAGAATAACGATTTTGATGTGAAATTAATCGATTTTGAATGGTCTGGAGAAGTTGGTTTTACACGTTATTCTTACTTTATGAATTTTGATATTCAATGGCCGGATGGAGCAGAAGATGGGGAACTAGTCTCAAAGAACCACGAACTCATCATATTGGAGCAAACCTTTCGAAGGAGTTTATTATAAGATTGAATGGATATTAAATAATAAATGTTAGATTATTACATTAATTTTTATTTTGATCTGTCAATTACATGTGTGTTTACTTATGCATATACATGTATATACAGTATGTATTTCATTATTTTATCTTTGAAGAAATTGCATTTCATTCATTACATTGTATGTAACAAATGAAGGTAAAATACATGTATCTAGGTCCTGGATTGTATGTTCCGTATGAAGGTAAAATCATTATTTTTGAAAAAATGCAATAAAAATCAATATTAAAATGCTTTGTTTGCATATGATATAGACGACGCCAATTCAACAAGCGCCAGTTTAAATGAATAATTACAAGTTCATTATTGTAGCAAATGCATTTGTTATCAAGAAAACAATCGTTGCTATGATTATCGCTATCAACTTTATACAGCTGAATTATCTAGCTAAAATAAGGATATCGACAGTCTAATAGATGAATGCGTGACATCCCCTTTGATCGTTTGATACAAAATAGATGCACATAACTGTATTTGATATTAATTTTGAAGTGAACATTCGACCCGTGTAAATTGCATTTTAATTCGTAGAATAGAAAAGGAAAAAATAAATATCATTAGAGGTAAGTGTTATTAGTCGAATGAATTTAACTTATTTAATTCATTCAATTTAAAATTTTATCATTATAAATTTTAAGGATGAAGGAATGGACATTGATATTACAACGGAACAACGGCGACTATCAGCTCTATTATCTTCAGGTTTGTTGAACCCATGGTCTAAGCCATTATCAGCCAAGAAAAAGCAATAAAAGTCTGTCGCTATGCTCGTTTTGAAATTACTGGATTTTTCATTAAAAATTTTGAGACTTAATACGTGTTGTTTACGACAATTATTAAACGTTTCAAATTGCTGAGCGACTTATTGTTAATACAAGAATCGTGAGAAAGGAAGAATATTAATTAAATTGCGACGAAATTCTTGTATATAGATTTATATAGCAAGACACGTACAATCAATCTTGATAAATTGAAACTTACATAAACCGAATTTGGTAAAAAACAGGTAGTACACGATCCTCAATAGATATAATATAATATACAAGTACTAACTTGCTAATAACATTGATGGCAAAAACAATACACCATGAAGAAAATTCTATAATAAGACTTTCATACAAAATCGCACATGTAAAAGATGAATATAAAATTTTTAATACTATTTAACTTTTAGGGCAAGAAAAACTAGACAGCGCAAATTTGTCAATGTTTTAAATTTATTTTTGGAAGATGGGAAAACATGAAATTAAATGTCTCTTGGACTATAATACAGCTTCGAGATTTTTTATTTAACCCGACCCCAAGTTTTAAATCGGGTCGGGATTATTACTTAACACTAGTCCTAAATTTAATCAACCCGTACGAGTCAGGATCATACCTTGGATGACCGGAGTTATCATATCGATATATGATCAATAATACGGCAAAAAAAATTTCAGTCACATGACCAAATCGCAAGGACACTTGAAAAATTCAAAGCACAAAAATAGCTTGTCATGTATCTCGAAACTTTATCTATGAAGCTCCTTTCTGTTCTCTAATATAAAAGATTCTTTGCAATATTTTACTGTATCTTCTTCTCACGTATAATATAATCTAAACGCTGGCCTTAACATTAATCTTTAATTCCTAATCAAAATGATTTAATATTCATATCTTGCGATTTGATTGATTTACCCCTTAAAAAGTCATGTGACCGACAAATTTTTGCCGTGGCTAAGGTATTACATGTAGTATTTTTAAATTTACACAAGCCGATTTTCTCAAGTTTTGCGATAATTGCTGATGATCAAACCATTTATGACAGCCCTGGAATTTATATTATTCCCACAGTATTAATATTATAGCAACATGTGTAATTAGTAATCATGAATATCTTGCAAATGTAAATTTATATTCCCACAGTATTAATATTATATCATGACATGTTGGGAATAATCGTTATTAATAGTGATCATAGATACCTTGCAAATGATGTAAATTTATATTCTATTAATCAAGGATATCTTGCGAATGATGTAAATTTATATTCCCACAGTATTAATATTATATCATGTCATGTTGGGAATAATCATTATTAATAGTGATCATAGATATATTACAAATGACGTAAATTTATATTCCCACAGTATTAATATTATTGACATGAGTAACGTCATGTAATCATTATTAATAGTTATCATGAATATCTTGTAATTGATTTATTTATTAATTCAACATTTAATGGCAATCAACAGGATTCTCAGGATTAAGTACATATGGAACGATCAAAAATCTTTATCACTAATTAGTAATATGAAATATTATCATTATCAACATCAACATTGTTTCTCAAATATGATTTGCACAGTTTTTTATCATGTGACCAGAAACTGATATAAAATCAGGGGTCGCTTTCAAAGCTAGCCATCAAACACACGTTTTGTTTACTTTATAAATTCCCAGCTAAATAAGCCAGAAATAAACAATATTGTCATTCTTGCTTAAAACTGATACCCAACCATTGACCAATCCTTCAGATTGGCCACATCCCGAATACCAACGACTTGACTCACTTCTTTGATGTTTGGACTGCTTTGAATTCTTCCAGACACCAATAATTGCTAAATACGGACACATCTTTTGCGCAAGTTGTATTGACGTATGTATTACTAGAGACCTGGGAAGTCCGCTTTGTCATGCAACATATTCTCCCAACGATCCTAGGAAGGAAACTATAGTGAATCAGTATAATATAATTAGGTAAATTTTTGAATATGATTTATTGATCTTATAAATCAGTGAATTAATTGATGTTTCTTTTTGTTATATATTAGACCGGAACTATTAAAAATCGTAACAGAATACTCGGTGCTAAAGAACGCCAAGAAATCCGAGATGTCTCGCTAGAATCAAATTCTTCAACTCCAAGATTACCATCTTCAGATTCGTCATCCGAAATGGAATATCTTTATACAGTCTTTCAAGATATATCTCCTGAAAATAAAGGAGCATTGCCGTCTTCAAGTTACTGAACTCCAACATTACCATCTTCAGATACATCACCCGAGATGGAATACCTTTACACAGTCTCTCGAGATGTATCTCCTGAAAATGAAGCAGCATTGCCGTCTTCAAGTCATCATCGAACTCCCATAACTAACAATTCTGTGATTTCAAATTGTTTTCTTGATTTAAAATTTAGTAATTCACCAGATTTCTAATATCGTCCACTCGCTTATGAAACAATCAAAATTACGCGAGATACTTAAGGCAAGTACAAACATGTATTATTCATACCTGTGATCTTTTGAAAATCTAATTTTATATGAAAAAATTATACATCAATACAGAAAGAGAGCTTATCAACATTCGGTAACAAAACAGAAATGATCAAAAGACATGCAGTATACATAAATCTCCATAACGCGAACATGGATACCACAAATCCGAAATCTCATCGCGAACTCTTGTCTGATATGAGGATTTGGGAAACTATCCAAAGAAACAATAAAAAACGGAATATAAATTCCTCAGCACAACATCTTAACATATATCAAACTCAGTATAACTTTATAAATATACGCCAAGAATTTAACAGCGATTTGACAAATAATAATTTGTCGGTATCGATAACTAACGAATACATATACAGGTATGGCGGTTATCATAAATATTCGGAATTTTGATTTAGTGTATGGAATAATGAAAAATTGTCAAAATTGCCTGATTATTTAGACTCGTCTTCTTTATAACCTGTAAATAAGTTTAATTTAAATATTTTACAAAATTATTATCAATTATTATTGCACTTTTCAGTAAAATTTATTGTAAAAAAATAAGTCAAATCTAAGCTTATATTATTAAAAATAATATTAAGTAATCCTATTATTTTATTATAGATGAAATTGTTAAGTATATTACCAAGAGGATATTTATAAATTTTGATATAATTCTGACAGTTTTTTATTAAATAATCAATAAAGATATAAAGCTAGCTACATTTATGATTGTTTTTAGTTTTTTATAATTTAATGATATTTTTAATAAGATATTATACCAATATGTCTTAACTTTGTTCTTCATATCAAAAAACATATATTTGAAAATTTTCATGAAATTTCATTCATTCTTTATCATACAATTATATACAAATTTAAAAATTCTGAATATTTATGATGACCACTGTACATGTATATAAATAAACAAAGAGATGATTGACATTTGATGTGTGATAATAACTGTTTTTTTCTATTTCAATTTCAAAGAGTATTTTTATGATATTGTTATAAAAATTCAAAATCTAATTATTTATTTTTTGTATGTGTTTCTCTAATAATCATTCAATATTTGTTTATCTTTAATTATTTTTATTATTCCGAATGTTCTGTTCAAATTTTTGTTATTCTTGTTAAATATTTCACTTGAAAAATCATTTCTTAATTTTTTCGTATGTTCTGATGAAATTGATTTTATATTTTTTTTATAATCTAGAAATGTTTGCAATTTTTTAATGTAAACTACTTTTGTTTCCTTGACCTCGAAAAACTGAACAAAAATTAAAATAAATTAATTATTATTTTTCTTGAGTTTTTCATACAATCATAGCGGACTCATATTCTCTTTTAATTTTACATATATGCTGTAATAAATAAATAATGTTATATATATCATTCTCTTATATTATTAATTTGCTATCTTTATATTATCCATTAGATAATATCTTAAATGAATAATAGCAAAAATAAAATAAAAATAGAATAAAGCAATTTAGAAACTAAACAATAAGTCAAGTTTATGTTATTCTGAAGCTTTCCAAATTTCTTATTTTTCACAATGAGAAGAGGTACACTTTGATAACTTCTGTTCTATATCATTATGTATATTGATAATGTCATAACTCAATTCTGACTCCAAAAGTTCCGCTCACTTATGTACTAATTACTAGATAAAGAAATGACAAAATAAAAGTGGAGAAGAAAAAAA